AATATGAACAGACAATTTTATGCAATTTTTAAGTACCATTTTCTTGTCACTTCCACTATACTAACATGCAAACTGAATGTTAATTAGCCAGAAATTGGCGTGGGCAGCATGGTGGCGTGGTGTTTAGCACTGTTGCCTCATAGAAGAAGGGCCTGAGTTTGATTCCACCAAGTGTCCAGGGCCTTTCTGTGTGGAGTATGTATGGATGGTTAGGAAGAGGCTAGAAAATGTGATATTTAACATCTTTTGACTTTAAGTGGCTTTAGTTGAAGAATAGTTTTACAAACAACTGCAAAGTTAAATGAAAGATGGGCTTAAGAACATTCAAGAAAATATTTTGCGGGAATGGGAATCGAAAGCCAATACTAAGGATATAAAAAACTAAAACCTTTATTAAGGTCAAAGAGCACCAACGAGACAAAAATACAGACAAAGTACAAGGAACGCATGTCTGAAACAATAATACAGGAAATAACTAAACAGGGAAACACCTCACACAGAGACAGGACTTGACACAGGAGAGAAAGCCAAGGGTCTTATGGAGAAACTGTTATCAAAGCTAGAAACTAAAAGGAAACTAAGGGCACAGAAAATATACCTATACTTATATAAATATATACCTGAGACAGAGAAACTCTTGAATCAAAAGAAACAAACCATGAGAAACAATTAAACTGTAATACCAATAAAGTGGATCTAAAGCACTGGATAAATAACACTAAGGAAATGGATAAAGATAAAAAATAAAAATAAAACCAATAAACATACAAAGAGAACAAACAGAGACAGTAAATCGAAAGTAATTTAAAATAAACATACAAAAAATTGTTAAAGCTTAAAGTTGTGTTGATACCTTTCACCTACTCACAGACTCCAGAGGGTGAAGTTAAGCAGTGCTGCTTCATTAAGCGTGACTGTTCTGTTTTTATCCACCACCTCAGGTTCTACCAGATACGAGCAGGGCTGAAGGTCTCACCTCGAGTGCCCCACAGGGTCATAGCAACAACACAAGATAATGCAGGTAAGACAGATGATGTTTACTTCCTCACACTCTGAGAAACACACACATCAACTTTACCACTCGTTCTGGTGCGTGGAGGAACTCTTAATTTGCTGTGTTGTGTTCAGTAATCTGTTTGTGCAGTTTTGTTAAATAGATGGGGGAGCATATGTGGAGTCTGAATACTTTAGTTTGACACTGGGTACTAGACCATGGTTATTGTTTTTTTGCCTCATGTTTGGTCATTTTACTGGTGCTTTTTCATGGTCACAGTCACATTTTAATTTCTTCATTGTCCCTTTCTGGCCATTTGGTGTCTCTCAGCAGTTAGTTGGCATCACATTTTAGTCATTGTGCTTTCATATATAGTGTTGTTCTCTGTGTGTAGTTTGTGACTACAAAGGTTGTTCTGTGTTGCCTCACCATTTTTCTCTTTTTGAATATTTTTACAACCATGTTTGGCTGTTTTGTGGTCATTTCTGATCGATCTTTTCATACAGTTTTGGATCTTTTTAAACTTGTTTGAATGACTTTCTAACAGTTAAAGGTAAATTGCATTGAGAAACAACACACAGACTTCAAATTTACCTGCATTAATAAATTACCAGACATGAGAAAATTAGACCAAATAAACCTTTCAGTTAACACACTGTGTTTTTGAAAAAGATTGAATATTGAATATAGTTAATATTTCATGAAAAATATTAGCTAAAGCTTAATAAGATTCTGTACACTGCAGTCATTTCTACATGGCCTGGCTGTGAACACCTGTAGTATTGTAGTACCAGAGTCTTTTAAGCTGGTCTTCAAATAAACAAAGAGTTTAAGTGAAGGTTTAGAACGCATCATAGCAAAAAACAACACTAGTGAAGGTTACTAATGATCTCAGTAATGGTCTCAGTTTTATTCACCATGGGGGAAGCACATCTATGAGTGATTGTAATGGTTTGGTTTGCTAGCTGCAGGCTGGAACTTGTTATTGTTACTACAGACATGCGTGACCAGTCTGGATTTAAAATGCAACGTTGAGGTTTGTGAGATTGATAAAAGAAAAAGAAGCATCATTAGTGACCACAGTAGGCTCATTTTAAATACTTATGAGATCATCAGGGTCGATTTAAAGAATGCTTTTCTTTAAAAAGAAAAAGAGAAGAAAAAAAAATAATGGTCTCAGATTTGAGTCAATTTGTAAAAAACACTTTACTTCAGCATCTGTCTGATAGATTCAAATTTGTTCCGGTAAACAAAGAGTTTTCCTCGCGCACAAAATAAGTCATGGAGTTCCACAAAGTTCTATACTGGGACCAATATCCTTTACATTATATTTTCATCTCTTAGGGAGTATTATTGGAAAACACTACATAAATCACTATTGCTATATAGATGATATTCATTTATATCTGTCTATGAACCAAGATAATACAGTTAGTTAAATTGCAGGTGTGTCTGAAAGACATTAAGGCTTGATTTTTGTTGTATTACCTTGGCCCTCAGTAGTACTGTAAGGAGCCTTGGCATTATTTTTGGCTATTTTGTGCTTTAACTCAAACATTAACCTCTTAACATACACCACAGGGCTCGCAAAATCGCTAGCCCGACGTCCCGGGGCTAGCAATATCTTCGGTCGGGCGACCAAAATCTCAGCCACGCCCGTCAGGCAATCATATAGCTTTTGGTCGCCCGACTGGAGATATCGCTAGCCCCGGGACGTCGGGCTAGCGATTTTGCGAGCCCTGCCCAGTGGTGACTAGTGAAACATGTAGTATTAGATTACATTTCAGTAACATGCAAGTAAGAAAAAGTAGATGTCACCCTTCAAATCAAGTCACTTAGATGTGTCTTGGTTTCACAATTCTTTTAAGATTTTCAAATCAGACAGGTATAAATTGGATACAAAGGACAAGATTTGAACCTTGCAGGGATATAAGAGGTTAATCAAATCTCTAAACTAGTCTTCATTCATCTGCACATTCATATGCTGTCTATGAGCGATCCTGAAAGAATAATTGATGCAGTTGTTCTAAACTTCTAAGCTAAAACATTCAAATTCTTCGTCCTCAAAGCACTCTGAAAAGCCTCTAAGTGACCCCAAATGCTGCAGCATGAATGATAGAAGGGACTAGAAGGAAAGATAATATTTCTCACATACTGGCTCCTCTTTATTTGCCCCTGTTAAATCCAGAATTGAGCTTAAATGTATTCTTCTAGCATATAATTCAAGTTTCCAAAAGTAGAATGGGAGGTCCCTGTGAAGCTAGCTCCCAGTTTGGGTTCAGAAGACAGACGCCTTCTCTACTTTTATGATTAAGTCTCCAATTTTCCTGTTTAAAGCTTACTGTTGAGGCTGGTTCTGGAAATCCTGAACCATTAAGCT